GAGAGAGAGAGAGAGAGAGAGAGAGAGAGAGAGAGAGAGAGAGAGGAAGGCATGCATCTTTGTTCTGTCATCCTTACGGTCATCAGGAAGCATCTAGGATTCATGATGAGGCCTCAGGGTGTGATAAGGGGATAAGAAATCCTGTGTGCCTGCATATTCCAGCAGAAAGCAGAGCAGCTAAAAAGTTGCCCTCTATCTTTCTGCTTGTCGGCCTGTATATTACCACCTTACTCCATTTGTTTTAGCTATATTTATGTATCTGTGGCACCTTTAGAAGCATATTCTGTGTAGGCAGAGATGGCTTTCTGTTGTTTCGTGTTCAGTGTCTCTGCTCCTCATGGGACATTGTACATACACATACACACATATACGTAGGCAGAGGCATATGGAGTTAGTGGGAAACCCAAAATTCACGTCTGCTGTGGGAATTCAGACATCTCACCATAAGTCACTCAGGTCCTGCTCTTAAGTCCCTGCCTGGAAGGAATTTAAAGGAGACTTGACACACATGGTCAGGTCTACAGATGACAATTCAAGACATTTACAGGCCAGGGTCCTTTAGTGTTGGGATACGTGTCTATATGTACATGTGCGTGTATAACCTGAATACAACTGAGCCTTCACACTCTCACCTCTGCTCAGTGTCACCATTGAAAATAAAGCACAACCTTGAGAGCCATGAAGAGTAAGTTAGGTCTGTACTGGAGGTTTTCTTGAGGGGCTGGTGGTGAATGGGGAGATTAGACCACGCTGTAGTCAATAAAACTGCCCCCGAACTTAATTACTCCACCTTTGTCCCCAAAGTCTCAATATGACAGCTCCTCCCAAATCTCTCTTCTCTGTTTCTTAAAACAAGACCTTGCCCTTGCTGGGTCTCTGGTTCCTGTCCCCTATTTTTTTGCTCACCTCCCTTCCCACCCACCCCAGGCTCTTCTTGTGCAGCTCTGTAATATTTCCTCATTTGATAGCCCTAACCATTACCTTAACCAAACATCCCTCCTCCTTAGAAGAGGCACAGGTGAGAGCTTGGGCATGTGGGAAGGTTGTCATCCGTCATTTGGTCCCTCTCACACGTGCACAGGTATGCAGACAAGTGTTTATGTTTCCATCTATAAGTCTGCCTCTTCCTGTCTGTATCTCTTAATCATTTCGTTGATGTGACACCACTGCAATCCAGCATATAGTCCTGGGCTATGTAGTCTCCCATCCCTTAGCTCCAGAGTAGGTGGTCCCACTCCTTACCCTTCCACCAGCCCACCATTGCCTCAGTCACACTTTTGGAGGTTTTTCCAGGTGTCCACCCTCCACCCACTGGCTGAAGGTCAAGATTTCCAGTCCAGTTCACCTTCCAAAGATGTGGAGAACAGTGTTTTCAAGAAGCCACACGTGGAGCTGCTCTCTCTGAGGACTCCAGAAGTCCATCTGGATAGCTTTCTTTCCTCTGACCCAGAGGCCTTGCTCTTTTCATTTCTCTTGCCCTCCTTCATTCACTCTGAACTCTACCAGACCTGTTCTCATTCTGTTTGTCCTGCCCTCACCCCACCTTCCCCACATTGAACTATCCCCAAGCCACCTAATGGTGTTTCAAGCAGGAGGCTTTGAGGGCTCGAGAGAGAAAAGAAATAAGGGCTTGAGGGGCCAGCCAGGTTAAAGGTCTTTACTTTTGGAATAAAAATATTCATGTCAGGCGTGTCCCTGTGCTGCTCCTCCCACCCATCCAGGATACCCTGTCTTTTTGTCACATACTCCCCACCCTCAGTCTTAGGGAAAGGCCGCAGAACCCCTTTAGGGTCCAGACGCTCCTTCTCCTTACAGCCTTGATTTATGTTCAGGGGAATCTGGGACATAGTTTAAATTGCTCTGGAAGAGATTTAAGTTTGACTAATATGTAAGAACTTCTCAGGTCCATTGAAAGTGCCTTCCTGAAACCTGAGGCTGGGTGGTGGTGAGTGGTGCTGATGCAGGCGGCAGACTTTGCTCTCTATCTCCCTCTGGTGGTCACTCAAGGGAGGCAATGGGCGATAATCACCCCAAGCTCGTGATTTGTGCGTGGTTGCTAGGAGGTGGGGATCAGGGAACGGAATGGACTTAGGAGAGGAAGCCACATCTGCCCACCTTTTCTCTGGGAACCTGAATGTCTCTCTGACCCACAGAATGCTCTTCAGGCACTGCAAACAGGCACAGACATTGAGACAGGACATTATTTCCTTACCCATTTTCCTTTTTCTTCTTGTTGATTTTTTCCACAGGAAGGGGCCAAAGAGGAGAGAGGAGTAGGCTACTGGAGTTCAGAAGGGTGGAAGGTACTGATCCTGGCAGGAAGGGGAAGAAGCTGGCACTTGGGATTTACAAGGTCAGGGAGAAGTTTCGATAACATGCTTGTAGGATATGGAGCCCACTTGTAGGGTGTGGGATGGCTGGAACATTTGGGGGAAGTGACCCCTTGCACAGGCATAACGCGTACTTCTGAACCTTCTCTGAGTGAAAGGAGGTGGGATAGCTAGGGAGGGAGACAGGCTGGAATGTGGAAGTGACTGGTGAAGGGGCAGGAAGAACACACCCCAAGGGTGTTGAGTTTTTATAATCTCCCATGGGAAGTTTGGGGTGCAGATTGTGAGCTATACTTCCCTAAATGAACTATACTTCTTTTCTGAACAGAGCCAAATCCCTAGACTCCTTTCTTATCCCCTGAAGAACGTTGAGGTTTCTTCCCAAATTCCCAAATTAGCTTTGGAGCCCCAGACACCTCCAGATTCCTGGCTGAGCAGGCGCTGTTCAGTGTCTTGTGACACTTATTCAACTTGAAGTTGTGCTGAAGAACCGAAGTGCTGAAAGTACTTGTTCAGCCTGAAGTGCGGCAAACAGCATCAGACTTTAAGATGTCAGCCCTCACTGCCCCCAGCCCTCCACGGACAAGCCCCCTATGCATCAGGCTGAAAATGCGGCTGGAGCAGGTGTTGGAGCTCCTGTCCACTTCATGACTTTGCTCCTCGGTTATGATTGCTAGGCCCTCCTGATAGGACAAAGCCCCCAGA